AACTGGTTTCATTTGTTGATAGCCTGTAATCCTTTAGCCCTTACAAACATAAGGGCAACTTCTTTTACTCCATGTACGGGCTGCTAAGGACAATCAGATTCTAGTAAATCATTGCCTTAAAACTCATGTTGCATGAGGAGTTCTTAGTGTTTTTAGTGGAAGTCACTTTTCTGTATTGATCTACCCCATATGCTCATGTTAAATGTTCTTTGACCACAAATGATAAATGATGCTGCTAATAATTGAAAGGTCTGGCAAATGGTTTGTCAGTTTAACCTAAAAAAATTACTTGAACTATTATATTTATCTCAATAAATACTTTGATTCAAACAGTGAAAGCAAATAAATAAATTTGATTCACAGACAGTATTTTATATCTGTTCAGGCTGCAAAAAAAACACTTCAACCTTCTGCCCTGTTTGACTTGTTTACAGTGTAGGGGCCATTTAGTGATGTGCAAGCAGAATCATGCTAAACTACAAGCCCATGTTGGCGCTAATGCTGCATTTATGACCAAATAGGGGAAAATGCATCCCTCAAACAACTCCAATTCAAATGTAAAGAGCTTTTGGTGACACTTTATTTTGTGTGGTCCTTTTTAGATGAAACAAATACTCATCGGACTCTCAGTAACATGTCAAATTGAGGTTAAGGTCAGGGTTAGGATTAGGGCCTGGGTTAGGGTTAGATTTTGGGTTAGGTTGGGTAAGATTAGGTGTTGCATAATGGAAGTAACATTAACAATACATCTACTTAGTGTAAGCAATGTATCAACAGCATGATATTTACTTCAGTGTATTCAGATGCTGCACTACGGCTACTTCACTGATCTGTTGTTGGTGTGTTACTGATAATCTGTTAAGAGTTTATTAATTATCTACAAAGGACCACTCGAAATAAAGGGTTACTGAGCTTTTTATACAAACAAGTCAAACAAGTGTCTAAAAATTCCAAGCCACTGTACTTGTGATTGTAACGACAGCCCACACACCATTACTGACATTCGGCATCAGCATTTTATCATCACTGCTTTAAATTAAAGTCAAATCGAGACCACAGAAAGTGATGGTAGTTGATGTGGCTTTAAATTTACACAGAGAAAGGCAGTCAGTCTTTTAGATAAACAGACAAATTCTAATGGTCTTTTACCTCAGCTAACGCTTGTGAGGAGATAAACTGATGCCAAACATGATGAGTTCTGTTGAAAGTTTCAGTTCATTACATTTATATGAGTCGATTGTAAAGTTGAACTTGAGCTTGATGTTTATCGGTGCACTCACATTTGATCTAGCGTAACAGCACTCCTGCTACATGACGCTACATAGGGACATTGTAAATATTAATGTTACACTAAACACAAACGTTACTAAAATAGTTCTGGCTAAGTTGTTCCTTTGTGTTCTTCCATATTATCGTATCAAATAATTCTTTGCCCAATGCTAGTCTTGCTACTAATGAATGAAAACTAATATGGTCATGTTAAAGCTGGTGGAACCATGCTAAATAGTTTAACTAGTTGTTAGCCAGTATTCCTTTAAGTTCTTATAAGTGAAATGATCAGTCTGGCTTTAAATGAGAAAGGACAGCTTTTCACGCCCTGTTAGGGCTACTAATGACCTGCATGTGGCCAGTGTTTCTCCATTAGCTGCCGCAGCCTCTCTCTTTACACAGATGAGGTATGTCCAGTGCCAGCTCAGCCTCTTGGCCTGCTGCCATCTCCATCACTTCCAAGGCCCTGTGTGGCTTTTAATCTCCCCTCTTCGAAACCCTGAACTTTTTCTCTCATAAATCTCTGAAAGGCCAGACTCCGAATCATTTCACTGAGAAGCCCGGCAGGCTGTTTAAACGGTGCTAAACGTCTGCAGAGATGCTCTTTGGACCGAGTCATTTTCAATCATACAAATTGGATTTGTTGCAGGGAGTTTGAGGTTCAGCATCAAGCGTTTGAACGCCTACATTGTTAGTTTCTCTCTTTCATAGGAGACCAGGGATGAATTTCACAAAGCAGGATTTTTTTTAGTAAACTGGATAACTCAAGCTCAAAATGAGAGTTGTTCAAATTTGTCCCTGACTTTTCTTCCTGTTAACCTGGCTTGACTTTAGGCTTAAAAGGGAATTCCACTGTTTTTGTTTTTTTTTCTGCAAATTTCTGCATAACTTAATCATTGAGTGATTTAAAGTCAGTAAACCTACATGTCTTGAGTTTTTAATGTAATGATGATAATTTTAAAATAGTTGTAGCAGACTTTTTTGCTTTCTAATACCCTGCATGTATCTCTGTGCCATGAATAACTTTTGAAAAATTTTGTAAAACAATGTCTCAGGCACCAGGCAGAGTATTTGTAATCATTTCATGTAATGACTTACTGTGAGGGAGCTTTAAGAGGCATTAAATGCTTTGGATATCTGGTTCCTATCACCACCACTGTGAACAATTCTGACTCAGTGAATTTCTGCAGAATGGGGCATTTCACATCAAACCACTCCATATGACTTTTTTGCATCTCAACAATTTACAGTCATAGTCACAGTCAAAGTTTGATCACCCCTGTCAAATTTTGCTTTGTTTACACACCTTTACACACTTTTGCACATTTTAATACATAATTACTGTTTATCTGATGAATTTAGCATGTTGGGGAAAAATAAAACATAAAATGTGGCCTGTGCAACAGTTTTTACATTTTATGTTTTATTTTTGTCCTATGTGTTAAATTCAGACAATAGAATGTTTGTTTAATGTTTGTTCCCTGTAGAGGGTGTGTAAAGTAATGTAATTTGACCAGGTGTGTTCAAACCTCTGCATTCAGCTGTAATTTTGCAGAAGGTTTGAAAAATCAGTCCCCTTTAAGATATGTGGCTAGACATGCAATGCTATGATTGATATCTATATCCTGAGGGTTGTTTGAGGGTTGGCAGGATCTCTCAGTTAGCCAGATAACTTGAGCCAGAAAACCTGCCCAATAGGAAAGAAGGTGAAGGAATTTTTGTTTCCACAGTCTTCAATTTAGGCTTAATTTTTTATCTCGCTGAGAAGTCTTGCTTTGTGAAATACTCCTGACATGGATATATCGTCCACTTCATTGCATGTTTTTGAAGAGCTGAGATGTTTCTCATTAGTAATGTTTGTAATCTGTAATGCAGTTAACTTAAACGAATATAAGTAGAGGCCGTGAAGCCTTGTGAGTGATCGTTATGTACAATCAGCGTTGTTGCTGCTGCCTCATCGGGCGCTGGATGCATATATTGCATATATTTGCACATGCATGCTCGCTGATGATTGTGGTTCTGTGTGAAATATAATGTCAGGTTGGTGTGTGTGGGTTGGCATGTGGGGATTAGAGCTGTGCAAGTGAATGTTACAGCAGAGACATTGCTGAATTGCGGCAACAGAAGACGATGACGACAGAAGGGGGTCTTATCACAAAGAATCCCCTTTGCGCGCAATCTTACACACACGCGTGCACACACACACACACACACACACGCACACGCACACAAAGGCAGCGGCAACTCTTCTCTCTCTGCCCCTCAGGCTTTCTTCTGTCCTGTTACTTAGCAACAAGCACCACACCATGTGACCAGCTTGGTGATTCACCTGAATTGTGACATCACGGCCTCCCACGGCAACAGTAACCGCCTCTGACGAAGCAATGAAGCTCCGTGCACTGCGCCAACGCACATGCTGTGTGTGTGTGTGTGTGTGTGTGTGTGTGTGTGTGTGCGCACTGGTGTCAGTGTCACTGTGTCCAGAGGCCTCCATCAACTTATGTTTTTTTTTTAAACTACAGCTTTCGCATCAGTACCCAAACAAACCGGTTCCCCCTCAGCAAATACTCTGAGGAGCAGTTCACTCAATAAATGCCAGTACTGTTGATAAATCAAACAGTAGACTGGAAAGCACCAGATCATTGTTCCAGAATTTAAAGCTGGGACTGCAGGTGTTCTGGTTCAGTTTTGAAATCTCGGCAGTTGTTTTAATAGGGAAAACCACAGTTTTTTACTCTGTTTCTAAAGCATGTGCATTGACGATGCACCCAAATTTCGACCACTTAAAGTTTTCAGCCGTAAATGGTGGGATTGGGGCGAGAAAATTTGACCCATAAACGCGAAAGGTCTGAAATGAATTGTCAAAATCTAGCACTTAACAAGTAATTTGAATGGTAATGAGCTGTGATTGGTCCAAATTGTCACATGGTTGCACTGCTTCACTGCACATAGCCTTTAGCAGTGTTTCATAGCATTTGCGTTTCCCATAGCACATGCGTTATACACACGTTTACAAAGGTTTAAACACCCCCCGTCAAATTACGTTTTGTTGATTTCCTGAGACGTACATTTGAGTTCTGAATTGGTTTCCCCAAGAGCAGTGACATAACAATGTCTATAACTTTCTTTTCCTGTATTGAATGTACTATAACATCACACTTGAAAGCATTTTCTTTGTACCCCATATAAATTTGCAATAAAAAAATTTTTTTATTGCAATGTAGGCACAAAAGAACATAGAAATAAATATTTAATTTTTTTAAAAGCTCCTTATGGTGATGCATGTTTGTTGTGACAGTAGCCAATGATGGCATTGATTTGTGCCACAATATAATGACGTCTCTCTGACGTTGCCAGTATGAGGTAATTTAATCTGTTCTATGATTGCAGCTCCTAATGATGTGTTTATTACTGAAACTCATATCGTGATAACGATGAAAAGACAGGCGTAATTGATAGTCAAAGTGCATGCCTAAGGCATTATTTTGCATAAACAAATTGTTTAATTACCTTAAAGCAGTGGTTTGGCAGGAAAAAAGTCTTGTTGTTTTATGGTTGAATAGAGGATGCATGTTATATAGCTGTTTTTATATTGCGGTTGATGTTACTGTTATTTGTATATTTTTTTTATAAACAATATAGATCACAGCTTGTTTATTGTACCTTTAATTGCTTGTTGACTTTTACCCAGCCAATGCCTCACCTCACCTTCTGATCTTTCTATCCCCCAGGTTACGCGCACTGGAAGGGTCAGGTGCTGACGGCTGATGAGCTCCATGTGCTGTATGAGGGAATCAAGCTCAACAACGTCAACCACTATGACTACGTCCTCACAGGTGTGCAAGGAGGGGGGTCTGGGTTGTGAGACATTGTGTTTCATAGCATGTGGCTGTTCTGTTGGAGGTGTTTTTTGTAAACAAATTTTTTGATATATTAAATTTACCCAGTTTTCCCCTTATCTACTGTAATGCTAATGTAGCTGACAAATAGTGAAAGCTTATACCCAACCAATTAGTATTGGGTAAACTGCATGCTTAACCCATCACACACTTACCTTCAGTATTTACAGTTTTTAAATGTTCTCAAATATACTTGGTAATGTGGTTTTTGACATTACATAGCACTTTGGTGGAGTAAGCTATTTTTAGCGCTGTTTTTCAGTGATTTTAGTCTCGTCCTAATGCACCATGTCAGTCATTTTCACAGTGTGCACACTTCCATATAAGTAAAGATTGTCTTTTACAAACTATAAAACACATTAAAGAAATCAGAGATGCATCGATGCTGTTTTTTTCAGAACGAGTTCGAGTTCACGCTTTTTAGTACTCGCCGATACAGAGTCCGATACCATACTGAATAACTTACTTAGAATTAAATAGTTGTTTTAAATAGTTGTACCTTAACAGTAAATTCATTAAAATCTAGCTGATTTTAAATGAAGTGCATGAGCTAGCTATGTTACCATAAATCGAGTAGTGCTGCAGTTTTGTTCCACGTCAGAAAAGCACGTCTGTACAGCTGTAAGTAACTTGTGTTTCATAGGTTTGAATCCTGATCTGTGTCTTTCAACAGCAGCACAGCGACAGCAGGAATCACATCCGAGGCTAAAGCATCCGAGGAGCTCGCTTATGGAGTTTTACATCTGAAGTACTTTGCTTGGCTGGTTGAGCTGTAGTTGAATGTCCTCTAAATACAGACGTACACTGTGTGAATTTAGAAATCTTGTCCTTTGGTGAGTCTGTACATTCGAACACACCATCATGTATGGACAAAGACTATGATTTATATACTTATACCGTACAAAAATACTCGGCCCATGCTATGTGAAATGCAGGCCCTTACAGACAGCTCAATCTGTGGACAGTTTCAAATAAAGCTGTTTCATTCAAAATAAAAATTGAATGCGCTCTGAGTACTGAGCAAAGAGAAACTAAGCATTGCTGCTGACACTGAGCACTTAAGCTAAAGCAGGCTGTGATGCACACGGTAGGACAGTAGTCCCTTTACAGTCTGTTTTACAAAAAAATCACTGTATTAATATTTATACCTTGTCATTATATGTAGTCATTCAGTATGGTTGACATATATGGATTTTGGTGGAAAATGTCGACTTTCCGTGTCCCTTTTGCTGGCCTCCGTGTCTCCACCTGTATTGGGGAAGCGGCTTTGATTGTGTGTTTAAAAACAGGCTAAATTCGCACAGCGTAGGTCTGGTGGTAATCTGCCAAGGCAGAATGTTTAAAGTGACCAACAGCTTTGTGTCCAACTGTTTCAGTCAGTAACACTTCTCTGTGTGAGCAGAGCCTCCTCCTCCTCATTAGCGCAGCAGTTTACGCTCAGCTTATGTCTCACCGTATTAGTGGGTATCAGTGAATTTTTATAACTGTGAGTAAATGAGCACAGTATTGGACGGAAACCCAGCACCAATAACTGCATCCCTAGTTGCCTCAGGTCATATTAATCCTGTGCGAATTGACATGTCGGTAAAAACTATATAATTTCTATGGAAAAGGAGTGTCTTAAGTATGAAAGCACCCGAAGAAGCCTTTACTTGCATGTTACCTATGGCTAAAATCAAGGCATTATGTGTTGCCCTACCTCAAGTGTACAACTCATTAACAGAACATTAAAACATGAAAATCACAGAAAAAGTTTGATTTTATGTAGTGATGTTGACTGTTGGCTAGAAATTCCCAAGTTAATGAAAATGGTAATGGCACAGTGCATTTACTTAAGACAGTTAGGTAGTTGGTTAGTGTAAGTGAAATGATGGCTAAAAAATGTTATGACATGTTCTCTACTATGTCTGGAGTAAAAGCAGTGCGTAAATCGAGTAGCCACTCTATCTTTGTCATATATGCCAAGATTTCTTATCCTGTGCAAATTGGACATAAACATAGCAGCCATTCTCTGGTAAACTAGCATTACCTCACCTATACATGGAAAACTAATCCTGTCCGCATAGTACATATGACACACTATTATGTGTAAAAATGGTTAAAAATGTCATATAAGTATATATAAATAAATAAATAAATAAATAGTATGCGGAAGCAGTATCAGAAACCACATATACAAGTCTGTTCGAGATTACATAACAGCTCAACACAGTTTCGATGAATATGTGAGGATTTAGACATCTAGTTCACACAGTGCTCATTAGTGGAGAACAAGCTTCCATTACTTGGTAGCTACATTAGCCTCATAGCTCCAATGCAAAACTAAAGAAGCAAGCTTCAGACACCAAACATGTCTTTGCTGATCAACTGCAATTGTGGTAAGGGGGAAATTATGTAAATTTGGTTTCTCACTGAACTTTCCCTTTAACACATTGCCCAGATGTTGTACCATGTGACTGGTGCTGAAAGAATAAACACATGGTCTCATATTGTCACTATACCTTCAGCACTGTATCAGGGGGATCATAGAGGACGCATGGTTGTTTAGGCGAAGGTCACACACACATACACACGCGCACACACACTCTTGCTCACTCAGTCAGGGGAGACAGTGCCCCAGACGTTCCGGACCATTGCAAGTTTGAATGTGCGTGCACGTGTATGCTCCTGTGTGTATTGCGTTCTAATGTATGAACTCTCCTCCTTATCACCTTGAGATGACAAAAAGAGAGGGAAGAAGAAAGGAACAAGGGAGCAAAAAGAGGAAGGAAGGGAAATGTGTATAGGGAGCACAATTTGTGCCCTTATTCTCCATGGTAATACACAGGAGAAAGCACCATTTGTGCCTGTGAGGAATTTATGTAAAAGCCAAGGACACACATTTCTGTCCTAAGAACACATGGCCACACTTTTGTATCTGGCAGTGTGAACTGAGGAGTAGGGTTGAGCGATATGACTGTATATTATAGATTTCAATTATCTCACAAAATGTATGCTAAACATATAGAGCGTATATAATTTTAGGCCTGGGTGGTATCTTAAAATAATTAGCACAGTATTTTCTTGTAAAAATTCGAGCTTATCACTCCTATTTTTTACCTCCCACTTTGAAAGATGTAACTTGGATGTAAATTACACACATCAAAATGATCAGCTCACCCTTTTAGAGAATTTGTAGACTGCCACACATGCTTAAGGAAATAGTGAGTTCCAGATGTACTTTATATATTAAAAATAGGTGTTTTCTGTCATTACAGTGGAGACATGCTACAGTTCAGTTGTAGATGCCTGTGGAAAACCATGAAGGTTTTTTTATTTTCAGAATTTTGCAACTTTGAAACATTGGAACACTTGAAAATGCTGAGAATATTTCTCCCTTTTTACTAGTGAAAGAGTAAAAAAATCCACATACATGTTATTTAATATTATTTTAGCAAGCTGCTTAGTAAGCTTGCTTGTTGATCACACACACATATACACATGCACATGGCTTCTAGTGTTGTGGCCAAACAACTCTATCTTTGACTCATCTGTCTATAGCACATTGGGGTCCTGGTCCAAGACATTCATTAGCAAACTTTAGTCTTGCCCTGATGTCCCTTTTATAGGCTTCTTCTTGGCGCACTTCTTACGTAGGTCAAATTTGTACAGTCTTTTTCTAATGGTAGATGCATGCATTCAGCAACACTACTGTGTCTGATCCACTCGTACCAGCACAACACACACTAAAATGCCACCACCGTGTCAGTGTCACTGCAGTGCTGAGAATGATCCACCACCCAAATAATACCTGCTCTGTGGTGGTTCTGTGGTGGCACTGACCATTGAAGAACAGAGTGAAGGGGGGCTAACAAAGTATGCAGAGAAACAGAAGGACTACAGTCTGTAATGGTCAAGCTACAAAGTGCATATATATGGTAAATAGACACATAATATTCACAAATTTGAATCCTGATAATGCCAGGGGTTAGTAACATATGTGTCAGCCAATCAGCAGTCTATATTTTGGAAAAAGCCTGCTTATTGGTTCATTGACACTGAAAGAGACTGACTACTTGGGTATTAAAATTTCCTGTTGGATGTCAGAAGTTCCCGATATTAAGTGGTATTAAGTATCAAATTTTGATGCCCAGTATTAATCCTGTTACATATCGTCAAAATTGTGATGGCTAATGTGCAGTACTGCAGTAGAGAAATGCATTACTGACCCCACTACCTATTGGCAGGATTTGTAGTCTGGCAGCTTTCTCTGCCACACATCAGGTCTCTGCAGGCTTGAAGTGTGGATAGAAGCCTGGCAGACGAGAACGTGAGGAAAGAGCAGAGTGACCTTGGCAAACAGTAGTGGTCTCCAAGGAAATACCGCTGTGGTGTGTATGTGTGGGGCTGTTTTTCTTATACGCCGCCCTGCGATTCTCACTCTGAACCGTGTGTATATGTGTGTGAAATATATATAGCATCACTGGGAATTCACTTTGGAAGGTTTATGAGGTAGAGACTTGGGTCTTTGCCATTTCAATTTCAGAGTTATTCCAAAAACAGTTGGGCTTCTTTTTCAGGCAATGATTAGTTCCACTTCTATTTTTGATTTTGATCCACTCAAAGCCCTGTGTGTGAGATGTGCTTTGCCACTTACTCACTTTGCGTACACACACACACACACACACACACACACACACACACACACATACACACATACACACACACAGAAGGGAAGCCTGAAGTCAGCATTACTATAAAACCTCTTGTTCTGCCTAAGCTGTTATCTCCCACCTAGACCAGCGCTGCGAAGTCAGCATCTCACGAAGCCAACACACTGCAGGAATTCCAAGGAGAGAGAGTGTGTGTATTGGTGTGTGTGTCAAAGTGTGAATGTGCACAAGCTTTTTGTTTGACTTGTCAATCAAAGTTCCTCAACCCAGTTGTCAATGCGAGGAGCTTCAGAACTTTAGCAACAACAGGCTAACGCAATGTCCGCCCTGGTGGTCAGATAGCTTTATGAGGGGGTTTCCACTGCTTTTTTCAAAATGTTTCAGTTAACACACACGTTTTATTTACTGTCCAGAGCAACCAGTGAACATACACGTTTTCTGGGTTTTAAATATACTATTGAAAATGTACTTCTCAGCCATGAATGTATTTTAAATAATGATTTTTTTGGCCCAAACCTTCTCAAAACCATCATAGAACAATTTCTCTGTAACCATTTCCTGTGATAACTTTCTGTGAGGAAGCTTTTTTACAGAGATTAAGCTCTTCAGAACGTCTGGTTCTTGTCACCACCGCTCTGAACAATTCTGACTCATTAACGTCTCTCTAAAACAGGGGTGTCCAGTGTTATCTGCAAAGGACCAGTGTGGTTGCAGGTCGGCTGCACACGTGATCAGTTGTTTACAGATTGAGCCTGATTAAATGAGTGAAATCAGGTGTGCTCTTCTTATGTGGAACAAAAACCTGCACCCACACTGGCTCTTTGTGGATAAGATTGGACATCCTTGCTCTAGAATATTACTCTCTAGAGCATTTTGCATCAAAACTTACTGAGTGACTGTTCACATCTTCACCTTCTAATTATTCAGACATTTTGAAAACTTGGTGGAACTTCCCTGTCGTAGTTTCCGGCCTGTATGCATGAAAAAAACACTCAAAAGTCAGCACTACAGTTACTACAATAATGCTAGAGCACAGCGTTTACAACCAACATGATATCCATGGTCTTATAAACTCTTCATACTTGTGCACTAACAGACGGCGCAAGAAAAAGAGAGCATATTTCTCTACAAAGTGAGCTTAAAATCAAAGTATTCTTTGCTAGTTTTACTTGATCCCGTAGTATAGAGTTGGATAGACGTTACAATTTAAAACATTTTTGTGGCATTTTAAGAGTGCATTTGAAATGGCATACTGTACTACATACTGCATTAGTGTATACTGTATACTGCATGCTGCCCTTATAGTAGTATATGGTATAATATCCAGTATACAACAGTGTGTGTGTGTGTGTGTGTGTGTATAAAGTGTGTTGTACTACAGGAACTGAGCCGATCAGACTGATCTCAAGAATAGCCCGGTTTCCTTGGCCCTACAATCACTACTTAGCAACTGTTTCTAGCTGCTTTTTAGCTGTTAAACAGCTGGTGTTTAGTAACACTTGTGGATAAATTCTGGTCAATGTATGTGTCTGCAGAGGCTTGAAAGATACCCTGACAGAGTGGAGGGTTTCGTTGTCTATCTCCAAAGCTTTTTTTATAAAAATGTCAGCTTTGGAATCTGTGTGGTAAACCTGTGTGGTTTCCAGAAACACCTGCGTATTCCTACATTTGCTAAAAGGTTATTTATTTAATTTTCATTACATTCGTAGTTATGTGCAAGTTTGACTGAATAATAGGCAGTGTGACTCCACACTTGAGCCTGAAGAATTCATGTTGTGAGGATTGTTTAAGACCAACTTTATTAATGTCTCACCCATAATATCTATGCAGTAAGTTAACCTTATTAAATAGACAAAGTAAGCAAGTTTTAGAGTTTTGCGCTTCTATTATTTCATTAGCCAGTTATCAAGTAAAAATGGACCTGACCTCTGAAACCCAGTACAGTTTGGTTTGCCAGTTTTCTGTCATCACTGTTGTTGATTTTTCTTAACTTGCTTCAAGAAAATATGAGTGCATTGTGTACGTCGCTCATTGTGGCTGCGCTTTGCACGGAAAGTGCCCTTTACCACTAACGCTGTTGAGAAGATGGCATTTAACGAGTCGTGTAGGCTAGCTTTAACTCACTCTATGCTGGTATGAAATTGAAGCGTGCCGAAGTCATAGCAACACATCTCATTTTTGTCCAACCACAAAATACATTTTTCCAGAATTCATCCAAAAACTGCCCAGTTAGGCAGGAGATCTCCCAATCTGGCAACATCAACACTGACGTCTGCGCTAGCTGTCAGCAGCTAGAAATTTGTTAGCATTTTCAAACTTTCTGTAATTATAGTTTTTAAGGCAATTTTACTCCATGGACTAAAAATCGTATACTTTATATATTCTGCACAGGCTTTTGGTTTTGTCTTTTAAGTCATACTCCGGAAATAATTTAAATAGTTTCTCATAGAAAATATGATTAACTCTGTGGTTTAATTGGAAGAAGCTTACTTGTATGATTAACTCAGTGGTTTAATTGGAAGAAGCTTACTTAAGCCCTCATTTTGGAGAAGTTAGCAACCCTTTCATGTGCATTCATATATAAACATAGTGTACTTGGTTACACTTGTACTGAATGGAACACACAGATTGAACACACATGTACTCCTTGACCTCACTGGCGCAATGTGACTCTAAAAGGTTGATCATCTACCTGCCTTGCCTAACCACGTCAACTCTTTCAATTGGTTTTGTGCTAATTTTTCTGGTCTAGTGTTTGGTGTGGGATTCAGCTAACTAAGGTTACTACAAGGGTCACAGAGGATATGGGGTCACACAGACAGCTGTAATCATAAATGTTCTGTTCACATGAACTTAGTTACTACATTAACCTGTTTCCTTTTGGAGTCAGAGTACTGAATGCTTATTTTCTTCATTCGTCCTGGATTCCTGTCTTGCTCTTTACAGAATCAGAAAAATGAAGCCCTTCTTTAACTTTATTTCCATTTCAAGCTAGGAAAGAATATTGTAGAAGTGTTACAGATGTTATTGTCTGGCTTGCTTTTTCCCACTGTTTTACAGTTGTATGCAAAAGTTTGGCCACCCCTGTGAAATGACATGTATTGTTGATTTTCTAAGTGAAAATAAGTTATCACATGCTCTACAGAGAACACATTATGCACATTTTGATACACAATTACTGTTTTTTTGCTGAATTTTCAGTTTATTTCACTACTGCAGGCGATGGCAAAAGTTGTGGCAAATAGTGGCAAATTTTCTGCTGCTGCAACAATTAAAAGCAATGGAAGATCTGGTTTTCTGTTGTTCGTCTGCTGCCAACATGTGAACGCAGCATAAGTAATGCCTACTAGCTTTATTAGCTTTGCATTTTAAAGTCATTAACTTCAACCATTAGAAATCCAGAATTATTATTATTATTGTTTTTGCTGTTCATTCTATTTACATTATAATTTAAATTTAATTGTATAGTTATGATTCACTGAATTCATAATTCAGTTTGATACAGTATGGTGTTGTGTCTGCACTGTACATTTTTCAATACAGTAAAAATAAGTACCTGAAAATGTGTATGGGATGAAGAGACTTTATTGAACGATACAATTGAGCACTTATAATTACACAATTAAAGACATTGTTATTGATTTAATGCATAATCTCTTTACTTAATTAAATACTTGCTGAAAAACAAGGGGCAAAAATACAATGAATGTATTTTTTTCCCTTTAAGCAAAACGAACTATATGCAAAACAGTAACTTTTAATCAGAAGAAAATTATAAAAAAGTATCTCTTCTACTTACAAACAACAATGTATCTCTGCTTCTGTCATAAAAGTATGTGCAAGAAATTAATCAAATGATACTGTGCTTTTGTTATTCCTTGCCATAACTGCAACTTCTAAAGGTTAAAGTATTAAGACACTAGAGGCTACGCTGTCTCTTGAATATCTTCACAGTATAAAGGGCAGTGCAAGCAAGCAAGCCTTTTATCTGTGACTCTATTCACAATACAGCACAGGCCTCAAATGCCTTATTGCTTTTATAAAATGGTTGTGGTAGAAGCCAGTAGCGTATACAGATGTTGGCACAAAGTCATCATGGCCAATCGGCACTTAGGAATTAAAACTATCTGTTACATAATAGCTGTTTGGTGAAGTGCTCCTTCAGCGTTTCTGAATTGGGACTGGGCCGATGCTGTCCCGCTCTTATCTTCTCACAAATCTCAAAGTGGATGGAGGCTGCATATTTTGTGTTTAAATACCGTGAGCCTCTGGTATAGCTATATTTCCTGTTCGGAGAGGGAGCCGTTGTAAAGGCTTTAGGAAACGACTTGTTTTATAAAATGAAATGACTGGATCGTTATTACTCTCCCTTGGACTTTGTAGAGTGTTTTATGGGTGTGTTTGAAAGGGTCAGGCCTCATAATGATAAAGTCAATAACCTTTATGTTTTCCATAGAAAATAAGACAGTGATTAGTGCTCTGACGATGAGATTTGCTGATGCAGGCTGTAACTCTTCATGCAGGTTACACCAGAGACACGTCTTTCCTTGAGATGGTGGTGGACATTGTACAAGAGCTGAAGAGGGCCAATCCTAATCTTGTGTACGGTCAGTGTTATGGCTTTTTAATGGCCATTTTTGCTATTTTAATGTCTAGCGTTAATTGTAAACAGTATGTGAAAACTTAACATTAAATATGAAAATATTTAATACTCCTGATCTGTATCTGATCATTTGGCTGATTGATCTTTGTGTGATATATATTTGTGTATTATGCATATATGATTAAACGTACACCCAGCTGAGCTGCAAAATGATCGCTTGCACAAACATACACTCTACAAGTTTGTGATCTTTTAGTTTGAAATACTTCTCTGTTTAGATATAACTATTTTGCTTAAGGTGAAACACAATATCAGCTTTCTGTATCTTGATATTTTCTGCACTTCAATGCACGTTGTCAAAAGATTGAGTTACAAATGACAGGATAATATATTTAGGTCTGCAACCAGCCATAATCAATTAATATGCCTATTATGTTTTTTTTAATTGCTTGAGAAAAGAAAAAGTGCAGTTTGTCAATAGTTGACATGAATATTTAACTTCATATGCAATTTAAATTGTTTTATTTAAAAAAAAAATAAGCATTACTTCTCTTTTTGCACAATGCTTTCTCAAACACAAACACCTCCTCATCCTTTGTCAAGGGTGCAGAAGCAGATCTACTGCATTGCTCTTGAAAGTTTTATTTTAATCAGCCTGAAATAATAAAGGAGTAAATCATTACTACACAGCAGAACAGCACTAAGCATGCACATGAAGCCAGGACTTTCCAAAAGAAGTTCTTTTTTTAACCTCTCCTCTCAAAAACACAGAGGACAGAATCTACCATGGAGAACATTTTCAAAAACTCAGTTTTCAATGATCTAAAACACATTTTTGTGGACAGGAGAACAAAATGTAGAAGGAAAAAAATGACGTGCTACTTTGAATTTTGACTACGATTTTAATATTGTAGTTACTCACTGTGATGAGCTTTTGCATTAGTTGACAAGCCAACTAATCAATAATAAGATTTATTGCTAACTCTTTTTTTTTAATCAGCATTATTGATTTGAGCGTTTTGTTGTTGCAGCCTTACATTAAATACGTGATTTAAGTATAACAGTACTAATATGAGCTTGAATATCCATATATTTGAATAGCCACCTCAGTTCATGTACAGAACTGAGTGTACCATTATGGCATTCACTCAGAGAACTAATCACAGTTCCAGTACAGTTTAACTGAATCTGTTTGTGCTTCGGAGGCAACCTGGAATAACCCTGTTTCTCCTCACAGTGTGTGACCCTGTGCTGGGCGATCATGGTTCAATGGTAAGACTTTCACACACATTTACTCTTTCATTCAGCCTCTTCTCTTTTCTCTTGCCACAGTTCCTGCCCCCCCTCCCTTTCCCTCCTCTGGCATTCCTCCTCCTTGTGCCCTCTTTTGCTTTATGCTCTTTCATTCACTCTCTCTCACACTCTTTCGCTTCCTGGCATGTGATGTTGTGCTGTTGGCAAAGGATCCTACTCACTAAACTGCAGATATGTGTATCGTCGCTGTTGTAACAACCTCATAACGCCAAATTTCATTTTACCAGAATTTTCCTTCCTTTCATGATGAATGGACCAATGAAAAAGCAAATCTAGCAGTCTAGGGTTATAGATGATCTCAAATTCACATCCGTATTGGAAGATATTTGCTTTATCGGTAAATTCTTGGCATCTGACAGATATTTCAGACTGATGTCGGTGGGGGGTTTGAGGGTCATTCCAGCAGTGAATGGGGAAGACCATGTCTCATTTCCTCCTGTCAGACTGCATTAGAGAAAAAGCCCCCCTGTTCTGTCAGCTGAGGAAACTATGCAGAAGAATTGATGCCTTTATGACTCATAGATAATGTGTGTGTGTGTGTGTGTGTGTGTGTGTGTGTGTGTGTGTATGATATAAGCACTGTAGCTTAATGTACGTTGAAGGCCGTGGGGGAACAGAGACGATGCTTCATCATGCTCGCCATGAAATGATCTCATTGTGTGACGTTTACTGTTTACTGTCAACCACAAAACGTCCTCATGATTTAGTGTGTGAAGTGTGTGATCTGTAAATATCTATCATCTCATCTCCCTTCTCTCTCTTTTTTATCTCTGTCACTCTCTGTCTTTCTTTTTCTCTCTCTTTTTGTCTTTGTCTCTTTATCTTTGTCTTGTCTCTCTTCTCTCTTTATCTATCTCTCTGTCTCCTCTGTATCTCCTCTTTCTGTTTCTCTCTCTCTCTCTCTCTCTCTCTCTCTCCAGTATGTGCCTCAGAATCTGTATCCCGTCTATAAGGATAAAGTTGTACCAGTAGCAGACATCATCACCCCAAACCAGTTTGAGGCAGAGTAAGTACCAGAGGATCATCCACACATCACACCATATACCAGTAATATACCAGTTACTTTGGTGATTAATTAAGTAATTAATACAAACAACAGAAATGCGTTTACCTGTGCAGTAACAAACCATGACCGCACACCTGTCATGGTATTGAAATTTTATACATTGAAATGTATACATTTGAGATCAAAAATTTTAAGTCTTTTTTAAGTTTTTTTCATTGTATGTGATTTATTGTATGTAACGAGTTACAGCTGTTCTCAAAAGAGTCACTGACGTTATGTTCCCCTTGAAAGAGACACTAATTTCACACAAGCAACTACCCAAACTCGCCTTAGCTGCCTTGCACATCTCCCCGGACCTCAACAGCACTGAATGTATTTGGGATTATTTTGATCATAAGAAGCAGAAAATGCAACCAACTTCTAAGACAGAACTTTTGAAGTGTGGAAAACAAATTTCTTTGAAAAACCGAAAGCAAATCTCATGAAAAAGAATGGAAGCTGTAGTAAAGGCAAAGGGTGGTCACAAATACTGAAAAACTTGATTTTATATTTGTTGAGGCTTTAGGTGTAAGTTCCTGGTGAACTGAAAGTATAAAAAGCTGAAAGCAGGTCTCCTAAAAAGAATAGAAGTTGTAATAAAGGTAAAGTGTTGACACACTGAAATATAAAGTAAAATTTCTCAGTATTTAGCGTTCCCTACTGGTCTGAAACAAACCTGGGCAGGAACAGAGTTTATTTTTTTTCTTGACACTGTTAAACTTCTGCAGCTGCTGGTGGTCAGTTTTGCACAGTAGTGTCCATAAATATATATATTCAAGTTTAAGTGAGTTATATTTATGGATTAGTTTTGTGTGCATGTGTTGTAGAGGTTGAATGCTTTGATCGTCCTCTGCATTGTTGTATTCCGTGTGCTTGTGTGTCACTTTGTTTTGCGGCAGTCCTTCGATCGAAGCCGCTATACATCAGAGGGACGTTTCTGTCACCCTTACGTAAATGTTAAACCCCTTCTTCTGTGTTTGTCTATTGATCTGTGGTCTCGGTAGACTGATGTGTTCCTTTTTTATGGCTCAGCACTTTTGTGATATTGAACTTCTGTTTCGTTAATTAATGATAATGTGCTTTCTTTGTGTGGATGTTGAGTCATGCCTTTAGTGTGCGTGCGCGCATGATCCTTCTGCATGATGCTGAATCGTGACTTGGTGTGAAACAACTGGCAGCAGGAAGGAGGAAGGAGTCTTTCAACTGCTGCACATCATTTAGTATCAGGAGCTTTTACTCATCAGTAATGCTGTGTCACCTCCTGGTGGTCCAACACAGAACTGCAACTGCTGCTCTTGTAGATTATATACTGTAGTGAGCAATTAAGCTTCATAGTATGTTGCTTGTAACCCAGTAGATGCCTAGTGTTATTGTTGCGCTATATATTTTAAGTGTAACTCTACAATTAATTAAGTAGTTACACAACAAATTACATGCATTTACTATACATGCTGTAGTGACGAAGTTGAGGCTGCGCTTCTGTTAAAGTTAGCACTGCGTTTAGTTTCATGTGAGAATTGCGGTGTAAAAGTAATGTGATACTTTGCTTTATGTTTGCTTTTTGTTACAGCTTTCATTATTTCACTTTCAGTCAAATCTGGAAAAAGTTCTTCATTCTTCAGGAGATATTTATGAAGAGATTAGATATAAGATAATTCACTTGTATAAAGAGGCAAAAAGCAGCACTTTCCAAACCTGGAGTTCAAAAAATGAAAAGGTACAAAGAAAAGGATTTCTAACAACTGTGCACGACCTGGTAGACCACCAAAACTGTCACCGTCAGATAAACAGTACTTAAAGCTTTCATCTTTGAAGCTCCACTTCATGCTTCAGATCTGAAAAAATCTACAAATCCTGTCCATCCTTCCACTGTGAGAAGACAAAACTTTGAGTCTGAAAGGGTGTGTAGCTGTCAAGAAGCAGTGGCTGAGAAAAGGAGGGAGACAAAAAAAGAAAACATTTGCAAATCAAACAAAGAAGCTGATGGAACTTGTACTTAATAGCCGTTTTGCCTGAAAAATTAAAGGGGAATTCCACAGATTTTTCAAAAATTTCTGCATGTAAACGTCATTCATAGTGGTTTGTTGTGAAACACTCAATTCTAGAGAAAGTCAGAATTGTTTAGAGTGGTGGTGATGGGAACCAGACATCTGAAGAGGTTAATGCCTCTAAAAGCTCCCTCACAGAAAGTTATTATATGAAGTTATATGGTTACACTGACTGATGCCTGAGACATTGTTTTATAAGAGTTTTGTAGCCTCCTTTCAATAAATGAAGGGCCTTTTGCACAGTGATGTATAATCAGAAATTATCATCAAGAATTTGGTCACCAATGCCATTAACAGGTCTGTGAGTAATAAATGTGTGATCATATTTTTTAGGCTCTTGACGGGGAAAAATATCAGCACAGAAAAAGACGCAGTAGAGGTAAGAGACGTGGCATAGACACACCACGCACATACATACAAACTTTTACATGTCTAATGTCCCTCTCTCTCCTCTCCTCTCCTATCTCTAGGTGATGGATCTACTCCATAACATGGGTCCAGACACAGTGGTCATCACCAGCTCTGATCTGCCCCCTCGCCTTGGAGACCGCTTCCTTGTGTCCCTCGGCAGCCAACGCATTGGTTTGTGTGATTCTCTTTGTTTATTAGCCTTAATCCATTGTGTAAATCTTCTCAGGTTATTAGGGTTTGCAGACTTGTGTTCTCTGTAGAGGATGAGTTAACTTATTTTCACTTAGAAAATAGAGGAAATTTCATTTGACCAGGGGTGTACAAACTTTTGCATATGACTGTAACTATGAAAGACTCAAACCTTATATTTTTTTATGTGTTTAAAGTTCCTATCAAAGTTTTGAGTTGCTCAGAAGAAAAATATTATTGCCGTCCAAAAATTGTTTTATTTTAATTTATATTTTAAATGAAATTTGAAACTTTCATATATAATTTAAAGTGTTTTTATAACATTTGAATACATCAACTGTCCTATACATTTGTTTTTGCTTTCCTGGATACATGTTTCTTGGACAGTGATTTTGTGCACATATATATATATATATATATATATGTATGTGGGTGTGTGTGTCTGTGTGTGTGTGTGTGTGTGTGTGTGTGTGTGTGTTAATAACTGTTATGATTACACTCCCATAGTGATGCCGGATGGTACAAGCACAACCCAGCGGATCCGAATAGAGGTGCCCAAAGTAGACGCTGTGTTTGTGGGGACAGGTGACCTGTTTGCTGCCATGCTGTTGGCCTGGACCCACCATTACCCCACAGACCTGAAGGTACAATCCACCTATCCACCCCATCACCTTCATGACTATGTTGTAATCATAAGTTGCTCACTGTATGCTGAATGACAGTACAGTAAATAATGACCAGTATGGTTGTGCTCCTGTGACTCCTAAGACCAGCACTGTATAGGACTAAAGTTTTAAAGAAATCTTTCCTTTTCTCTTCATCAGACGGCGTGTGAGAAGACTTTCTCAGTCATGCATCACGTCATTCAGAGGACCATTTCCTATGCCCATGGTAAGAAAAGTGTGCATTTGTTTGTATGTTTGACACCAGGGTCATGGATGGAGAGAAGTAGAGCCCAGACTTTGCTTATTCACTTAAGGCCTGACGGGTCACGTCATGGGTTTTCCTAAAGATATTTAAGCAAAACCTCTATTTAATTTGTACAGCCATGACAAATTAGAAAACTGCACTCCATACATTTTTTAGTTATGAATGTTTACATTTTGCCACATTGGCTTCTAAATCACATTTTAAAAACTGAGATAAACTGCTTACAGAATGAATAAACTGAGCTGAATTTTGTACTTAAATAGACACAGCACTAAAAAAAACAGCAACCATTTGACTTGAGGTATTAATAAATTACAACAACAGGATATATATATTGGTGTTCTAAATAAAAATAAGTTAACACATTCTACAGGGAACAAGCTTAAGTATGGCATTTTCTGCTAAGGTATTTTCTGTATTTAATATTGGAAAAATATAAAATGTGCCATAACTTTTGTACAGGCCACAATGTGTTTTTTTCCACTATGCTAAATTCAGCAAATGAACAGTAATCGTGCATTAAATTGTAAAGAAATGCATTTTCTATGTTAACCTGTTTTTACTTAAAACTAACAAGGCATGTTATTGTACCAGAGGCACCCAGACTTTTGCATACAACTGTATCTGTGAAGAGTTTAATTCTAAAACTGTTATATATGCATTTGTGTACGTGTAAAACCCTATCTTGGCAAAAAAGAAAATTCTTGAAAGTGGTCTATGTGTTTTGAATTGAAACCCTTTATATATATTTTAAAATGTAAAATAAAGTTCTGCTTTTTATTTTGTATTTTTATTAAACTATGCATAATTTTCAATATTTGAAGTTTCACCATTAGTTTTAAATCGCTTCACAGCTACTTTCATTTTGAAGGCCTTATTGACCGTATATTTTCTCAAAAGGGACCAAATCCCATTGCCTTCCAACTTTTTCCTGAATAAGGACAGCTGTGTCTCATTAACATCAAAATATTACAGATGCAATGACTGTATGTGCAATCTGTGTCCTTTTCTGAGATGTGATGCATTCTGTATTTTTTGAGGCAGAAGCGTATATAAACATGCTCCTCTCTCTCTTTCTCTTAGAGATGGCAGGTCCTGGCAGAAGACCCAGCCCGGCTCAGCTGGAGTTACGAATGGTTCAGAGCAAAGCGGACATCGAGGATCCAGCGATCGTCATGGAGGCCACTGTTCTATAGAAACTCCACACACATACACACGCACACACACACGCCCCTCCCTCTGCCCTCCGCCACAATCGCACAATGTATAGATGTTGTACATTTTTTTTGGATCTGTAATGTGACATTGCCTTAGAAATCTCAAAACAGAGCACAACATTTCATTGGGAGGGAGGAATAGCAGGGTACGGCAGTAGAGCGAGAGAAGGACGAGGAGGAGAGAACGCTGTGATGAAAGAGAGGGAAGAGAGGTTTTTAAAAAAAACATCTCTCTTTCTCTCTCTGGTACTTTTTCTCTCCATCCACCTCTCCTTCTTTGCACTCAAACCCCTGTTTGTCCTGCACATTGAACTCAAAGTCAATGGAATGGCCCAGGCAGAAGCAATCAAACGCCTGTTTATTTAAATCCAGAGAAACTGCCAATGCTGAAACAGGAGCCACTAAAAAAAGAGAAGTGAGGTCACTTATTGGCAGAAGCTTAAGCCAATAGTATAATTCCTGAAGGTTTATGTTCCAGTTAAAAATGGAATAAAGTAGCTGAGAACCTTTCTTTATGGTCATAATGTTAATATATGGGTTTGACGAACCAGCTTGAAGATTTACAGGAGCGAGTTTTTAAGATGTTGATGAGCTTATCTTTGTGTGAAGGAATCCAGCTTACGATATCTGTATGTCTGATTGTCTTACATGGATGTCTGGATGTTTTCTGTGTCTTTTGCACACAAAAAAACAGATTCACTTTGCTGCGTTGGCTGCTGCAAGAATACATATTTTGTTGATTTATTTTTTTTGTCATTGTCACGTCATTTAAACCATGTTTTTTATTTCTCATTTTCCTTTGAGTGTTTGAAATGCGAGACTTCTGGCATTTCATTGTATTATCTTTAAAATACGTCTTAAATGTCATTGCCACGGTCATCTAATTTCACTTTTAAAGATTGTATTTTACAAAGATAGTATATTGTCTGTAAATACTAAATCTAGGTGTTTGCTCTAACAGTATTTTACCTTTTTTATTTTTAATAAATTTTCATATCATAATAGAGGATGCTTTAAAGGAATAGTTTGGCAAACAATCTAATTTACACAGTTCTTCCCTTACCGCAAATGTAGTTGTTGAAGACATGTTTGGTGCCTGAACTTTCTTAATTTAGGCTCATAGAGAGTCAGAAACCACATAAGCAAGCCTGTATAAGATTACTTAATACAATTTGAGGCAAGCCTGTGGTTTTGTACAACGCTAATTAAAGAAGTAGAAATGCTCTAAAACTAAAGCAAACTGCAGACACCAAATGTGTTGATTGGACTACATTTAATGTAAGAAATTTGTGAAAATTTGATTTTATAAACTATTTTAAAAGGAAATTCCACTGATTTTTCAAAGTGTATGTTTAAATCAGTGGTTAAGATGTAAATAGTCATTCAGAGTGGTTTAAAGTAAAATGGTTCATTGTAGAGAAACTTACTGACTCTTTTTACTGATTTCTTTACAATGGTGGTGACAAGAACCAGAATGTCTCCGACTCATATATAGCCAATTTATTTACTATCCACCAGTGACCCTCTGTGTGTCTTCTGAGTTTTTATATGTAATGTTGATGATGGTAAAATAGTGATATATCTTTGTTTTTTTACACTCTAGCATGAATTTAAGTGATTTAAAAATCAGGCAGTATGTTCCTACAATAACTTTTGATGCTATAACTTTGTGATGTAGCTATTAGAGACATTTAACTCTTGATACGCCTGGTTCCTATCACCACCACTGTGAACAGTTCTGACTTGTGAAGTTTCTCTAGAAGCGAGCATTTCACATCAAAGCACTCTGAACTTAACTTCTTAACAATTTAATTATGCAGAAATTTAGAAAATTGTGTGGAATTTCCCTCTAATGGGCTTTTAGGGGGAGATGGTTCTAAATGCCTTCACTTGTGTGGATCTGTATCTGTGACAGTCTAATGAACTCACCCATTCTGTTCTCTCTCTTTCTCTGTCACATTTTCTGTCTGTGTCTCTCTCTCATCCTTCTTCTCTCTCAAATGCTGTCTGCCCCCTCTGTGTCTTTCTCTCGCTGGCTGACCTACTAGTCTTATTTAAATATTAATAAAGAGCAGATGACTCAGAGGAATCTCTTCTTTCATCTCTGACTCCGCCCACTATTTGTAATTCAGATTTAGCCATTCATCTTAATTGCTGCTGCCACTTGTTTTTTTGTTTTTTTTTCTTTCCAGTAAATTGTCATTTTCTGTCACTTCTGTTTTCTGCTGCATTCTATTTCATCCATGCTAAAATCTTTAAAAGCTTGTGGTCTTGAATAGAAATAGTGCCCGTGTGCAGGACCAATCAGGGGTCAGCGTTGCTTTGGGTGGTGTACTTCCTCTGCAGCTTTTCATGAAGCAATGATCTGTTAAGTCTGTGTTCTAGTGAGTATCTGTACATTTCAGTTGTGTGTGTGTGTGTATGTGTGTATGGGGCGAGATGACTGTATGTGTGTAATTTGTGTCCTTAGATAACATGTAACACTCTAATGGGGTATTTTGGGGATGTTTAGACAAAAAAAAGAAGCTTATCATGTTGAAAACTACCACTGTCTGTGGGAGTGCAGCATCCATGCTCTGCCTACAAATGCATTCTTTCGTAGCCACTGTTGCTAGATTGGACAAGCTTTATAGAATCCTGTTCAACCTGAACCAGTTTAAGGGGAACCTGGCCACTTCCTATTTCTCCCATTATATCAAAAACATGCCGGCGAAACACTAAAGGACACCCACAAGGCCTCTGTAAATAGTGTCAAGAGCAGAAGTGCTCAAAAATGTAACTGCAATCTTGAAATATTGTATGCTGTTCTGTTCTTTTCCCTAAAAAAAAATGCATTCACAAACTATGATTTTGCACAAAAGCTCCATACCCCTTCCCCTGTTTCTAGTGTTTTACAAACCCAGAATACATTACTGAGTGCCATTTCTTCTCATTACCCATTATCTTATTCAACCTAAAAATTGTAGTACACAGCTCTTTTTTTCCTTTCAGCAAGAGGAGGCAACCTTTAAGAGGAAACCATCCTCCTCTGGTTGACATCAGATAGACAAAAATACTGCACGAACTGAAATACCAAATAGACAAATACTGCAAGAACTGATACTAATAAACAAGTGTGTGAAGATAAAAAGTGAGCCCATTAATTTACAGAGACATTTAGATAAATCAAAAAAGTAATAACAGATTTTTTTGCATAGCTTGTCCAACCTCACAACAGCTGCTACAAAAGAACACATTTGTGGGCGGAGCATAGATAGGCCAGTTGAATGGTCTCAATAGAAGTGCCCTGTGGTCACTGACCTGAGAACAGCTCAGTGTTTATTCTTAGCATAGTTAGCACTAGAAATTGTGTTAGAAAACCTGGTCCTAGATCAGTGAAGAAGGGCAACGTCTATCCAAAGCCATTTGAATGGGCTGTTGGCAAAACTGTATGCTGCCTGCCTCCACAAGCAACCAGTCACTGCCAATAAGTCTTCGTAGAGTTGTGTGTGTTTAGAGGTGGGATTCTGAAAAAGGCGTGTGTATACTTGTGTGTGTGTCTGTCTGTCTGTCTGTCTGTCTGTCTTCTGGAAAGACAAGTGGCCCACCTTGATACACCCTGTAAGGACCCCCCCAAAAAATTATACTAATAATAGCGATGTGGCTCACTTTCTCGGTGGGCAACCGAATATTTTTGACTGTTATCACAGTGACGTTTAGCACATTCCCTGAGGGAAATGTAGGGCGGAAGTTTTGGGGTGGACTACAACATTTTTGTTTGTTTCCTGTACATAGTGTATGTAATAATGTATATTGGTCTGTGGAATTTGTGTGTTGTTGATTGTATGGCCGTGTGTGGAGCAAAAGTGACCAAATGTTACTTGTCATTGAAGGGGCGATGAGCTCCCCCTTGTGGAGCTAAGACTGTCTTAAGTGTTTTCTAGCATCAATGTACAGTGATTAGTTAGGTCCCAACAATCTTTAGCCCTTCATCTCTGTTCCATTGTCGCCAATCTGTAGTTGGGATGGGTGTGTGCAATGCACTGACTTTACTGTCTTTGCATTGTCATTTTACTGCTAGTTTTATTAAGTCTGTACTCCACACTGTGGGCCTAAAAGTTTCCGGAGTGATAAAGAAGAATCAGCTTCATCCGTGTAATTGTGGTCATTAGTATACCAATTGTAGATTCTAAGAAATTTGATGCATAAGGGTTCAGACTAAGAAATACAGACTCAGCCTAACTGGAATTCTTTTGCACACTAAGCTAAAGCTATGTCTGAAACTGGGCCCTATTCACTAAGTACTGCACAATTTTGGGATTCTGCCATTTGTGGTGTCCTAAAACACGGTAGAGGCCGTATACTCTTACAGTCTCCCAGTACTCTGCAGTTAAGAAGTATACCAACGTTGCACCCTAGCAGACAAGAAATACCCAGAGTGCACACTGTTATATGTGAGGGAATGTGAGGGAATGTGATTACATGGGTTTGTTCAACACTAAGAAAGTAATGTTAGTGTGTGAAAATGTTTACTTGAATAACAAATTCTAGTGCTCTATGCAGTGCTCCTCATGTTCCAGTATAGGAAATAGTGATTAGGGGACCATTTGGAACACAGACTAAGAATTTTAGAAATCTGGCTGAATCTGAATTTTGTTGTTGGTCAAATTTGGAACACAGACATTTAGGATATAAAAATGTTTGGACTTTGAAGGGGACTTGGGAAAATGAAAGTTCAAATGAACCAAATAAGAATATTTTCGACATATAGAATCTAATAGAAACATGCATTGTGTCTTGGTCTATCAAAGTGATTCCAATCTCCATCCTCATCAGTGACCCTGTTGTATGAACCACTGTGCTTGCTGTAGTATCCCACATTTCCTTTAGAGATCAAGTTGCTGTGGCAAAGATCCACTTCGGAGTGCGTACTTGTCACAAGATGGCAGCCGTCTGCCAAATATCAACAACAATGATGATGTCAGTACTAAGCAGAGTAACCTGTTATGAGGGCAATGGTCAGCGTCCCCACCCTTAGCCTCAGTAGCTCTGTCCGTCTCTTAGAAGATCTACTAGTGTCACGTCTGTGCTTTGCTATTCATTTAAGTTTTCTTTTTGTTGTTATCTGATTATTACTTTTTTTTTTTAAATAATATTGTTTTTATTTGCTTCTGATCTTCATTTCTTAATGGGGACAAAAAATATATATAATAAAATGTTGTAAATGTTTGGTAAAAGTTTATAGTGCTTCGTTTTCTGGTTCTGAATATTTTTTAACATGTTACAATGAAGATTGTAGTGTACAAATCCACATTTATAATATATAAAATGTATGTTATGATGCAATAAAGAGAAAGTAATGATTATATTACATACTTGGTGTGCCAGTATGACTGTAAACTAAGGCAATGGTGAGATTTAAATGACGGTGTATTTATTTGTTCTCCAAGAGCAAGTTGAATCAAGCTTTTTGAACTGGTGAGTCAACTTTGAGTTTAAATGCTGAGCCAGAGGCCACAAAATATTAAGAACATTTATGTGTAATTTGTCTGGGATAGTAATTACCATGTGCATAATAGCTGTATTATGAAATAAAAGGGACAATGATTTTTAAAGTGATACGCGGATTGTACTGCAGTTTTAGAGAATTTAATAAGCCTTTTTGTGAGATTGGAGGACTGAAAAATTCAACTAAGCAATTAGACTAAATGAGAAAGAAAAACATTTCAATCACATTACAAGAAATGGAATTAAACTAGCCAATGTCTAAGATTTTGAAGCATTTGACATTGCATGATTGGGCAGCGGTGGGGTTCCACTAAGAGGATGTTAATTACATACAGTTATGTAAGCAGGGTTTTTGGAAAATTTGGTTAGGTCTTGAACTTCCTAATACAACTGGAGAGTTAGCATTCAATGTAGGTTACATTAGATATAGGCAATGCACAAACAAAACGTTCTGAACTAAAATCATCTAATAGTTACTTTAACATTAACATATTTAATTACAATATTTAATAATAACAGTCTCTGATCATTTCTGACTTAAGTGTCAGTCTTCTGCTATATATAGCTCCATACACACATGGACAAAATTGTTGGTACCCTTCCGTTAAAGAAAGAAAAACCCACAATGTTCACTGAAATAACTTGAAACTGATAAAAGTAATAATAAATAAAAATTTACTGAAAATCAACTAATGGAAATCAGACATTGCTTTTGAATTGTGGTTCAACAAAATAATTTCAAAAAACAAACTAATGAAACTGGCCTGGACAAAAATGATGGTACCCCTAGAAGAGATTGAAAACAATTTGACCATAGGTACATGTTAAACTAAGGTGTGTCCTGTAATTAGCATCAGAGGTGTCTTCAAACTTGTAATCAGTCAGTCTGCCTATTTAAAGGGTGAAAGGTAGTCACTGTGCTGTTTGGTATCATGGTGTGTACCACACTGAACTTGGACCACAGAAAGCTAAAGAGAGAGTTGTCTCAGGAGATTAGAAAGAAAATTATAGACAAACATGTTAAAGGTAAAGGCTATAAGACCATCTTCAAGCAGCTTGATGTTCCTGTTACTACAGTTGCAAATATTATTCAGAGGTTTAAGGTCAAGGTCAGGACTGTAGCCAACCTCCCTAAACGTGGCTGCAAGAGGAAAATTGATGACAAATTGAAGAGACGGATAATGCGAATGGTTACCAAAGAGCCCAGAACAACTTCCAAAGAGATTAGAGATGAACTCCAAGGTCAAGGTATATCAGTGTCAGATCGCACCATCCGTCGCTGTTTTAGCCAAAGTGGACTTAATGGAAGACGATCGAGGAGGAAATCACTGTTGAAAGCAAATCATAAAAAAGCGAGACTGGAATTTACCAAAATGCATATTGACAAGCCAAAAAGCTTCTGGGAGAATGTCCTTTGGACAGATGAGACAAAACTGGAGCTTTCTGGCAAGTCACATCAGCTCTATGTTCACAGATGCAAAAATGAAGCATACAAAGAAAAGAACATTGTACCTACTGTGAAGCATGGAGGAGGCTCAGTTATGTTTTGGGGCTGCTTTGCTGCATCTGGCACAGGGTGTTTTTAATCTGTGCAGGGTACAATGAAATCCCAAGACTATCAAAGCATTCTGGAGCAAAATGTGCTGGCCAGTGTCAAAAAGCTTGGTCTCAGTCTCAGGTCATGGGTCCTCCAACAGGATAATGACCCTAAACACACAGCTAAAAACATCCAAGAATGGCTAAGAGCAAAGCATTGGAGTATTCTGAAGTGGCCTTCCATGAGCCCTGATCTAAATCCTATTGAACATCTGTGGAAGGAGCTGAAACATGCAGTCTGGAGAAGGCACCCTTCAAACCTGAGACAGCTGGAGCAGTTTGCTCACATGGAGTGGGCCAAAATACCTGTGGACAGGTGCAGAAGTCTCATTGAGATCAGAAATCGCTTGATTGCAGTGATTGCCTCAAAAGGTTGTGCAACAAAATATTAAGTTAAAGGTACATTTTTGTCCAGGCCAGTTTCATTAGTTTGTTTTTTAAAATTATTTTGTTGAACCACAATTTAAAAGCAATGTCTGATTTCCATTAGTTGATTTTCAGTAATTTTTTATTTATTATTACTTTTATCAGTTTCAAGTTATTTCAGTTGGGACGCTGTGTAAAATGTAAATAAATATAAATAAAAACAGAATGCAGTGATTTGCAAATCTCATAGACCCATATTTTATTCACAATAGAACATAGAACACATATCAGATGTTGAAAGTGAGACATTTTACCATTTCATAAAAAAATATTAACTCGTTTAGAACTTGATGTCAGCAACCCATCTCAAAAAAGTTGGGACAGGGCCATGTCTACCATGGTGTAGCATCCCCTCTTCTTTTAACAACAGCCTGTAAATGTCTGGGAAGTGTGGAGACCAATTGCTGGGGTTTTGGGAGAGGAATGTTGTCCCATTCTTGTCTAATTGCTGGATTGTTTGTTTCATGATGCACCAAATGTTTTCTATTGGTGATACTGGACTGCAGGCAGGCCAGTTCAGCACCCGGACTGTTCTTCTGCAAAGCCTTGCTGTTGTGATGGATGTAGAATGTGGTTTAGTATTGTCTTGCTGAAATATGCAAGGCCTTCCCTGAAAGAGACACTGTCTGGATGGGAGCATATGTTGTTCTAAAACCTCAATATACTGTTCAGCATTGATAATGCCTTTCCAGATGTGTAAGCTGCCCACGCCATAGGCACTAATGAAACCCCGTACCATCAGAGGTGCAGGCTTTTGAACTGTGTGCTGATAACAAGCTGGATGGTCCCTTTCCTCTTGAGTCAGCAGTACAGTGTCTGTGGTTTCCAAAAGGATTTCAAATTTTGATTCATCTGACCACAGAACAGTTTTTCATTTTGCCTCAGTCCATTTTAAATGGGTTTTAGCCCAGAGAAGATGGCAGCGTTTCTAGATTTGTGTTGACATATGGCTTCTTCTTTGCATGATACAGCTTTAACTTGCATTTATGGGTTGCACGGCGAACTGTGTTCAAGACAATGATTTCTGGAAGTGTTGCTAAGCTCATGCAGTGATTTCCAGTACAGAATCATGCCTGTTTTAAATGCAGTGCTGCCTGAGGGCCTGAAGATCATGAGCATCCAATATTGACCGTCGGTCTTGTCCCTTGTGTACAGGGATTTCTCTAGATTCTCTGAATCTTTTGATGATATTATGTGCTGTAGATGGTGGGATACCCAAATGGGATATCCAAAGTCTTCGCAATATTATGTTGAGGAACATTTTTCTGAAATTGTTCCAAAATCTTTAGATGCAGTTATTCACAGATTGGTGGACCTCTGCCCATCTTTGCTTCTGAGAGACTCTGTCTATTTAAAATGATCTTTTTGTACCCAGTCATGTCAGTTAGTTGCAAATTGCTCCTTCAGCTGTTTTTTATTAGTACCACTTATTTTTCCAGCTTTTTGTTGCCCCTGTCCCAACTTTTTTGAGATGCATTGCTACCACGAAGTTCTAAATGAGGTAAAATGTTTCACTTTCAACATCTGATATGTTCTAGTGTGAATAAAATATGGGTCTATGAGATTTGATGCAAATCATTGCATTCTGTTTTTACTTACATTTATTTACATTTTACACAGCGTCCCAACTTTTTTAGAATTGGGGTTGTATATGTTGCCCAAAAAGAGTTGAAACTCTTTAGGTGATCATGGGAAAATACAAAACACACTTGCCATGATTTTCCAAACATCTTTTTCCTTATTGTAGAGAAGGGAAAATATCGAATGAAATTAAATGAAACTTTTCAACTCGCATAAAACTCAACTTTTGAACACAACATTTATGTGTTTTATACATTTTAAAATGCCTTTGAATCTTTGGAAACCTGCCTGGGGGGAGGGAAAGGTTCCCCTAACTGAAAAAACCGCCTTGTCTAGAGTACTGAGTTTCAGTAAGTGCTCCTGAAACTGTAGGAAGAGGAAACCGATGCTGTTAAAATGTGAAGGTGAATAAGAACATTAGCTTAGCTCATTTCAAGGGCCTTTCATGGGTCCCCTGTCCTTACGTTCCCTGACCTCGGCGCTACCATGGCAACAGCTGGCAATGTAAACAGTGATGCCGTTAATGTTATAGCCACTGATGTTACAGCGTCACTGGAAATTAAACATCCATATACATTTATTTCTCAGCTTGGTAGCATCTCTGGTGCTGGCTATGTGCTGTTTCCACTCGAACTGAGGGGTGGATGGGACAGGAAGTGCGGTGAACTCACTTCTTCAGCTAGTCTGCGATGGCGACGAGCGCCCCGCTGCTGCCGGACAAAGAGAGAGAGATCAGTTAAAAACAGCAGAGAAACAGACGAGGAACCGGAGAAACAGCTGATAAACACCAGAGGAGCACCAGGGAAACTAGACTGCCGCCAGCACTTCACATGTGCACGGTGTCTTTCTGAACGGTTTGAGCGAATAAAACACGAGACTCGGGTTCCGGTGCTACTGATGACAGCCGGCGCGCTTCAGCTTTACGGGTTTGTTTTTATATATATTTATTTATTTATGTTTATATTTATTTCACTCTGCCCTCTGCCCAGATCCGCTAAAAGCAAAAACAGCTAAATGGACACTCTTTTTTTCTGTACGAGGCTGAAGTTTGCTTCCTATTCGCCACCTTCTTGTTCGAATATTGCTGTTCCACCTTAAATGGTGCAGCCGTTACACTCTGGCGCCTGAGCCGCTTGAATGGAACTGCTGCACCGTTTAAGGTGGACCGGAAAAAAATCGAATAAGAAGCTGACTTCATCTTCGTCTTATTTGCAGATAGACTAAATTGAAATGTCTGCCGTCTTCTTTGTATGCTGCAGGTGCCCTTGCCTTGCCAAACACATCTCTATAGAGATAGTATGTGGTTAATAAGTGGCCAGTGCCGCTTTTTCACTCTTTATTCCCTTTTTACGTCCCTCTGCTGCAGTAGGTTAGTCTGCTTACAGTGGGCTAACCCATAACGGATAGCTGTCTGCTAGCCAGCGGGGGCAAGAGTGAACACTGCGGGTAGCTGCCGCTTTTACTGACTCCTGTGTATGGGTATATAGGTGTAACTGTGTTCCTATTATTCTGTAAATGTAAATATGTTTTCTTGCAATTTTTATCCAAAGGCATTGTCATAAATAAGCAAAATGTGGTCAGCCTGTCGTGCCTTGCGCGCGTCATTGTGGTGCGATATTGGGGTTACTAGAGGGCAAAGACTCTGTTCGTTTGGGCGGAGCTACATGTGGGGTAGGGGGTACATGGTTTTTAGCCCCTCCCAGGATCAACCCTTCACATAATGCTGATGTAGGAACTAGAAATCCAGCGTCACCGCATCAGTGGGCCTCGAGAAAAAAGGGGCCTTATGGAGTACAGTACAGATCAGTGCAATCTCCGGTTGATCTACAAATAACGATATGTAGAAAGCTAAATATGTAGCTTCACATAACTTGCAGCCTTTATATTTTCAGGGTTTGGTGTTATAGGATAATAAAATGTAGTGCAGAAAAGTTTTGATGCAAGTCCACTTAATACATAGATTTTAAAATGTAAAGAATTGTTTTACCTAAGAATGTAATTTAAAACAGTTTTCCCTTGACCCTAGACACAGTCAATGGACCAGTTAAGACATATTTAGTAACTAAATTCTGCTTCTTTAATTTTGCAGTGAAGCAACAAGGCTAATGTGATAGAAGTCTGTGTCACCCAAAAAAGATTTTGGGAAATTAGATTTTCCTGCAAACCATTCCAACCAGTTTGAATGTAAAAAAATCAAGATAGAAATATAATAATTGATGCTTGAAATCCACTTACTAGATCTACTTGAGAACCGACTGGGTGTGGTCCTAATATTCTAATGGACATGCTTGATTGACATCCCAGCCTACTGCACCTCTGGGGCAACTAAACAAAACTGCACAAGCGGGGAGAAAAGGGTAGTGTGCTGTCCACATGCAGGTGGTGTTGTAGACACTCCCTGCTGTGTCCGCAGCTCACTAAAAACATTATCCAGCTTTTATGTGGTAACAAATCATAGACATTGGGAAGTTGTTCATCTATATTATGTGACCACACGAGTTAACCTTCTTTAGGACGAATGCGCTTTGTTGGCCAGATCCTTCAAACACAACACATTTTTGATTCCTACAGTCAGTTAAATACACTGCAGTTTAGTCTCTAGTGAATATAAAAAAAAACAATATTCAGAAATCCAACATACACAGCGTATAACTCCACCCCAAATTCCACCTTACATTTAGAAGTAGGCTTCTTGCAGAAAGGTTAAGCCCCACCCAAACTGTTATCTGAGAACAACATGGGCGGAACTAAACATATAGCCCTCCTAACTCTTAGCCCAATCCCAACTTAGACTTACATTGAGGGGCTGCACGTTTTCAAGAGGTGAGTGAGTGCGTGGCTGTTGACTTTATAAGCATGGTGAGCTGCCAATAGAGGGCCTCTATTTTTAAATAACAGTATTCTTTTTAATAGTCTTTTGCTTAGATTACAGAAAAAGCTCTTTTATTCTGTGCAGGTGTATTTGGTTGTATGTGTAATGTGTCAGTTGCAGTTTGGATTAAGTCCAGACCAGACCTTCTGTATTGTTGTCTGCCATATGGCTATGTGCACATGCACACTTCACTTAATCCTGTGAGGTCCAGATCTCAGTAGTGCCAGAGTGCGTCTTGACAGTTTCTGCCTGTTTTCTTTCTCTTTTAATGCATTCTGATGGAGTGCACATGGCTTTTGGCCTTCTAGGCCTGTTTATGTGTCTGTTGCAGCTATGAGGGTACTGTACATGATGAGTTCAGACAGAAGTTTAAACTGCCACACAGGTCTCAAAGACATGAACTCGACCTCAACTGATTATCCCCTTCAGCTGGTGTAATACTTAAAGCTAACCCTATTACCGTTACAGCTACCGTATAGGAAGGCATCCGACTTGGTGATGGATCCTGCGTTGGTCCACGTCACCAAAGGATCCCAATGTAGAAGTACTGGTTCTTGGTCTGCTGTAAAGGTTATCTCATGAGAGCAGTTCATCTAGGACCTGACCCTAGATTGGCACATGTAGATTGGAGCTTCTTTGTGAATACCTGGCTTGCACTGTTGTTGGACAACTTTGTGTCTTGTTGATACTTTGTGGGTCAAAGCTTTTGGTGACACCCTGCTGAGATCCTCTTACTGGTCCCCTGCTTCTTTGCACTCTTAACAGGCTATAACCACACAATACCAACTGTGTGACCTCTGTTGTTTTTTATTTCTGTTTTAATTACGGTGCACAATGATATCAGAATCATATTGGTATCAGCAGATATTTGCTAAAAAAAATCAGCCTGGGATGGATGTTTAGATTTGATCGATATTTAAAATCAGTATTTGCATTTATTGTACTCGAGCAGAATGTTTGGGCTACACTGGGATACTGAGCTAAAATGTCTGCATCCATTTACTGCATTTGTAATCCTCCACTACATGCTGTATAAAAATGTTACATTGCTCTTAATATTAAAAAATGTTACACTGCTCTGTAATGCTAATAATATAACTAATAATACTAGTTCCAAATTCCACATTTTATACATGTGTATGTGTCAGTATCTGCATTGGCAGGTATGTATTTGAAAAATCTTGGATGTCTGCATGAGCCCACAATTCCCATATCTGTGCATCCATAAACTGTAAATGGTAATAGCATACTTTGCTGCAACTTGGTAAAATAAAGTAAGTTTGCTTAGTTTATAACAAATTAATATTTTACTCAGTGAATTTAAATTTTCAGAAGAGATATGTGTAGAGTTGAAATTAATTTATTAATTTACTTGGTATAAGTGAGCCAACTGGTTTCCCAACTTTTTTTAAGTAAACTCAACGTGCTATGGTGTAGGTTTTAGTATTTTTACATAACCTGTATTATTGCTAGGTGACACATTGTCTATATTGGTAGACATGGTATAGGTGTATTGGTGAAATACAACAATCTTACAGCGTTGATATGCAGAACATGCAGTTTGTTTGTGGTTTCTTCATTTTGTGCACTTATTATGTAATATCCGTATAAATACCTGCCAGTTTACTGCAGTGTAATGTTATTTGCTGGGTGCTTCAGATTGTTTTGAAAAACAGTTTAAAATACATAAACACTAACTAAATAGCCGGTTTCCTTTCTGCATATGAACTTTCTCTGTGGTAAGGTTCCCACTGGTGTCATTTTAAGATAAGAAAACAGACCAAAACAAGCCAACCAGTAGCAGTACTCTAGAGACATGGGCTCATTAACTTTATTAATCCAAACGTAAATGTCATTTATAGCAGGAAGCGTTTCGTTTCTTTTGTTTTTCCACAGTTTATGGCTATTTAGGCCTATCTCTGGGTAATATAGTTTTAGCACCACAAATCTTGTGGCAGAGCTTGTCAAATAAAGGGGAGCAGCTCGTCATGTAATTAACACTACCAGTCCCTTCTTACACTGAGTGCTTATGTCCGTAAGCAGTGGGTCACAAAAAAGGCCGCAAAAAGGTGTCCAGAACCTGTTCTGTAGGTTGCATACAGATAAAACAGAGCTAGACTCTGTTTACTTGAAGTTTTAGAACTTGCAGCTTATTGTGCACCAAATAAGCCTTTGCCAAGCTGTTATCTGCCTTATTTAGTGCAACACAAATCTGAGGTTTGAGTCTTCAGTGAAAAAGAACATCCACATCTTTCTGTTTAGAACTGAATTTGATCTTTCATTCACCTGAAACCACTTGCTAGCACGCTTTTATTATCATGATGACTTTCATGATCACAGTAACTAGACTGTTTTGTGTCTTGGAACTAGGATATTTTATCCAAATCCAAATTACTTTGTCCCCTTACCCTTATCTTAACCTTGCCTAAATATTGTTAATAAGCTGAGGCTTATTTGATGTCTAACGTTTGCTTATTTATCACTTTTAAATAAAACATCATAAAACCAGAAGAAAATGACAGTTATCTAACTGTGGTGATATTAAGCTAGAAAAAAAAGTCAAACCCATGTAACGTTAGCTGAAGACTGAACACAGCCAGACCTCCCCTCTGATTTTGAGAGTCAAGTTACTCAAGCAAGATCAGTTAGGAAAAGATATTAAATGCCAAAAATAACTTGCTGAGTCCTCAATACTGATTGAGATTAAAGTTCAACTATTGAAGCTATTTCATTCAGGATGAAATTGAACTTGGGCCATTAAGTTAGCTGTGGAACATAAACTTGACTATCCATTCAGTAAACCACCTAAACTTAATATGAAAACACATTGCTAAATAAAGATTTAACAAGATTTACATCTTGAACGTACTTCTATATCATTGCTGCTATCTAGATAAGCAAAAACCTGTTTGTCAAATTGTATGTCTTCTTATCTCACACAACGTTACAGCACACCTGCCCTTTGCCACCTTTGGCCAGTCCATTTTGTACAAAGGGATTGTCAAACATGTAAAACTATTTGTTAAAAAATCAGAACTGGGATATTATGACTAA